AAATAGCAGACTATTTATTAAGAGATAAAGGACATTATGTGCAAGCTATAAATTATCCTACAGTTCCAAAAGGCGAAGAGAAATTGAGATTAGCCCCAACACCAAAACATACTCAAGCCATGATGGATAAATTCATGCGAGACACATTAGATGTTTTTCATCAGCTGAATATATTCAAGATAGCCACTAAATCGAATGATGCACCGTGTGCTATTCTGGTTCATTGACGAATGTATATAATATATGATTATCGTACACATAATCATACAAACAAAACCTATCTATTATAGATATCCTATACATCCTATTTAATAATGATGGGCGTTATTTTGTTATCTGTAACTGAGTAACTCAACTGTTATTGAGAAATAACTTTAATAACCATTATCAAATTTGAAAAATAACGTTATCGGACATCTTAAATAGTTATTTTCAAATTTTTAATTTTATGAGTAAATGAAAGGTAAATAGTAATGTTTAAGATCTTACTATTTAGCTTTTTTGTCAGTAGAAGCGCTGTCGGCACTGTTGCTGCATTAGACCAATATTACATGCATTCGTTTTTGTCATGAGATTTTTGTCGTTTCTGTCATTGATAAATTTTTCAAGAATATTGATTGGCTATAGGACAAAGAGGTCCAAGATCTTCTCTGTTTTGCAACCAACTAACACGCTTGAAAAATTTGTCATACAACAAAAAAGGACGCATTAACACGTAATATTAGCCTTACTCAATTGGGGGCAATTATCAAGTTGACATTAATTTTTGTGTAAAATTTAACATTTTCTATTTATTTGTTTGCACCAATATTTTAAATAATGAAATATTTTAAAATAGATTTCTTAAATGACTTAAATAATAGGAAATAATCCACAAAATGTAACTAGGATATTATATTAAAAAATAGCTGTTTGTATAACCAGTTATTTTTAAGTAACAGTAACTGTTATAACTGTTAATGAAAAATAACTATTTAGCCCATCCCTACTATTTAAGGATATATAGATATCTTATACATAAATATTTATTTATCTATACTGTTTATCCATTATGTTCTAATGACATTTGGAATCATGAGTTTATAAATCTTGCTATATTATCAACGTTAATAATTAACAGAGGTTTAAATAAAATGTTGATTGATGAATTTTGTTTATCTTTACATCTTATTAGTTTTTTTTAACTTATATGTATATTTACCCTGTAAAAATTGTTTATGTATGAATATAAATAAATACGTATACATACGTATAAATTCGTATAAATAACATACATAACATATATAAATATTTATAAATATGTATAATTATATATTATATATGAAATATGTCCATACATCCTTTTTTTGTAAAATTACTATTTAATATAATAAAAATAATAGCAGTACTGAAAAAACATCAAAAATAATTAAAAGGATAATTTTTGCATTGTTTCTTATAGAAAAAATCAAGTTTAGAAAAATGTAAAAAGACTAGCTTATGTAAATATAATTGTATACCTTTATA